TAGCAATTTAAATAGCACGTGACAGAAGACTGTTTCGCGTTCTACTGACGATCGTTCTTACGAGGCGATGTCTCGCGCGCTAAAAGCGATACTCGCGTCTTGACGTCACGAAAGTCGGACGTGCATCTACTACCCGTCATTCGAACGTCACGTGCCAGCTGCCTCTTGAGACTTGAAATCGCTTTTCGACGAGTCTTTCTTAGAAGCATTCGAGTCTCACGCAGAAGTTTCGCTGAAGATGTGTAATGATACAAGTGACTCGCAGTCACACTCGATGTCAGACATATCGTTTTATAATTATTCTTAAGGATCTTTAAATTTCCAGTCACGCAAAATCAAGCTTATGACGGTCCCGATAGGCTAATCGAGTAAATAATTTATTAGCAATCGCGGGAGAACAACATTGTTCGACAATACGATAGGTTTTCGGGTTTTCAACGCGCATGAAAAAACAACGCACTAACTCCGTTAGTGCAAATAAATTTTCTGTTATCTGGGAACCAGATGAAAAACTCGGATGTGGAAGATTTCTGTGAGAGGTTTTTACTCAGCCAATTGCTCTCAATTACCTCTCAACCGAGTTTTTAATGCAGCTGAACGTTGAGACGAATGTTTTCGACCACAGTAACAGAGATATTATTTTTCGTCAGTGAGTTTTCCGTCTGGTCTACATTCTGTTACACGAACTGAAATCTCTTTTCCATGTACGTGAACACTCATTAGTAACCGACCGTAGAATCGACCGTGTAATCTAGTTTACTTCTAATATTATTCCCCCATTTTTTTAAAACTTCTTTGAAAGGTAGAAAATTAATTTCAAACATGAACTAATGTATGTTTCTTTCTTTACCTCTCTCTCTCTCTCTTTTCCCCCATTTCTCTGCATTTGCCGTTTTCTTGAATCAGATAATTCGTCGCGTTCGTTTCGTCGAGCTTCTCTGGAAATTCGCGAGAAATTCCCGAAAAATGGCAATTTCGCAACGAACACGCGTTTTCTCTCGCAATTGAGTTACTTTCTCCCTCCACTCTTTCCCTCCCACCCGCCACGTTGACAGTCAACACTCGTGTGTGTTCGGCTGAACGCTTTTATTTATATTATCTATTTAGAGGCCGTGTCGGGTAATGCATTCATTTGACATTCGTTCACTCGGATATTTCGCAAACCCGAACGCGTCGCGTTTGCGCGACGAATTTTATCGCGTTGTCGCAAATTACAATGTTTTTACCCCGAACATACATACGTCCGCGCGACGCTCGGCCAATGTGGGCAACACGAATATTTCGCGTGCGGGAAGCGTCGTGCGCCCGCTCCTTCCCTTCTCCCCCTCTTTCCACCAGCTGCGAAAATTCATACGTTAAACAAGCTGGCTTCGTAATCTCTCTAATATTCCCCGGATGAAACGCCGTTTAATTTCAAATCCCGATCCGTCGCCAGCGTTGTGCGCATTTGCTGGATTCCAGTAGCGTTTCATTTATTATCAAAGCAAGATGTCAGACGTTGCTCAAAGGATCGTCTCATTTTACGTTCGGGCTTTAATGAGTTCACGTGAACGAACGAATACATACATACGTATGTACAGCAAGCGTATAAACGCGAATCCTTCGTGCTCGCTTATGTATGTGTGTGTGTGTGTCCGTGTACACTCGCATTGGCAGCGACTGAGGACACTTACGGACGATAAGATGGCAGAAGACGCGATAATGTGCGCGTACCGTCGCTGTCGTGCTTGCTCGCGCGGCCACGGAATTACCCCGTACAAGCGGATGTTTCCCGGGAGATCAGTTCCGTAAAGAAACTAATTCGAGATACACCCTCCGCCTCTCGTGCCGGGCTGCGCCCGGCAACCGGGCGGGAGTTCGCCTTTTTCCCGACCGGGTTGGTTGGCCACCGACCCGACGCGCATTTCCGGCCCATGCGCGCCCGCCGTTCTCTCGCGAACTTTCCCAAACGAATTTAAAACGCGAGCGATTCCGGGAGCTTTTATTTGATTCGCCGATTCAGCAACGGCTGCTGCTGGATTAATCCGCAGCGCGAGACGAGCGAGCGTGGCCGTTACGAGCGGACCAACGAATCAACGAGCGCGAATCTCAGCCTCTCTAAAAAAATTACAGTCTGCTCTTACGAACTTAATCATTTAGGGAATAGGCGTGAATAGGATTCAGTCGAAAAAGTTGTGGCTTGGAAATTTTAAATGACTAATGCCCATTTCTACCAACTTTGGTTAACTTAACCGGCTGGTTATTCCAAAGGAATTGACCAGTCGCATCTATCATGTTTGACTAAGGAAAAATGTAATTGATCAATCTCCTTGGAATAACCAACCAGTTAAGTTAACCAAGTTGTTAGAAACGGGCATAAGATGCACTTATAATGCGCTTAAAAAATATAATCTTGTTTCTAGCGGGAATCCTCTTGCATGTGGCCTTAAGAGGATTCAACCAAAAGGGAAAACAGCTCACAAAAAGAACTCTAATTACAAAGTACTATTTCCTGTGATCTCATGTTCTGAGCGAAAATTCTTACAGAAAGAGCTCTCTTAAAGTGAATGAATGAATAGTCACTGATATCAGTTATAAGTATAGTACTGATCAGTTTCAGTGCTATACTTATAGCTGCAAGTTAGTGTATATTTACTGCTTTCAGTGATATTCCACTGATTTACTTTAAGAGAGAAAGTATTCCTCTTATAATGAAGTGAACTATTAATCGAAAATCTAGATATTATTCTAACTTTTGTCTTCTCTTTTGAATCTTTCAAAAAAAATATGTTTGCATAAAGCAGAGTGTCTTTTACTAGAAAAAAATTCTATTAAAAACAAAACTTGTAGATGAAAGACGAAATTCCCCCAACTTTAAGAATATTTTCGAGTCGAAATTTTAGTCTTACTTGAACTTTTTACCGTCTATGCATTCTGAAGGATCAGTGTATGTAGTATACATGGAGATTGAAATCTTACTTAGCACCTGTAAATGGCAGAAAATGCTACTTGTAGGTTCTAAAGAGGATTTCTTTGCAGAGCTAGGTTAAATAGACTCAAAAGAAGTTGACATAGGCTTCAGGGTATCAAAGTGGTCGTTAAATGGAACATTGAGGTCGAGACTAAGATGAAAATTTCGACTCGATTTGTGCTTATTTACATTGTCCTCTTAGTCTTGGAAGAATCCTCTTAGTCTTGGAAGAATCCTCTTGAAGCCATACGTAAGAGGGTTCTGTTAAAAATAAGATCATAATTTTTAATTTTAGATATAATTTTTTATTTTTTAAAACAAGAGGGATATACTCACTTGAAGTAGAATATCTTCTTATTAGATTTTTCTATTTGTTATCTATAAAGATTTTTCATTTTCAATAAAGATAATAAAGATAATTTTTAATATAATTTTCTATTATTATCTATTAAAAACAAAACTTGTACTGTGTAGATGGAGGACGAAATTCCTCTAATTTTAAAAACATTGTGCCTAGAATATCTTCTTTGTGGTTTTAAAAGAATGCTTTTATAAAGTCACATATAAGAGGATTTCCGCTAAAGATAAGATTGCATTTTGTTGAGTGTGATCTCAAACGTATCGTTGCTGGACTAACAAATTAAATTATATTTATTGCGTAAAGTAATCTCGCTCGGTGTTTCGTTAATTAGACCAAGTGCTCTTTGTCTCCTATTTACTAACAACAATTGCGAGAGTGTCTTATGTGTCTTTAATTAGGGCGTGCATAAATCATAATATCCGTTAGGTATTTTAGTCTATTTCCCGACTCATTACGAGCGGTAACGGTTTCGTGAGAGAGCCCGATTAACTTCAAACTCAACTCGTGTTCGGCCTTTCGCTCGTTTCGCCGTAACTATCGACAGTGCCGTGGAAACGGACTTCTCCTTTTACGTCCAGTCTACCGGTTACTTACCGAACTTCAGCGCAACGGCTATATATATATATATATATATATATATATATATATATATACACATCGCATAGTTCACAATCGAAATTTGATCAACGAAAGCTTTCGCCACGTTTCTCAGCGAGTTCCACTCGAATTCCTCTTTATCCTCACGGGCGAACTCGATTCGATTGCGTAACGGCCGATTCCGCCGTCGCGCGAGTTTGAAACGATTTTTAGATCATTTCGTCGCAAATATCGCGCGAGCAAACTTTCTTTCACCCTTATAATCCCGCGAACTTCTCGCAAAAGTGCGGGCCTGGCTATTCCGCCTCTCACGCTTGCCACTGCGTCGACTCAAATGTGATAGCTAAACAGATATGGAGCTTTATTAATTGCCCGTTAATGAAGAAAATAAACAAGCAGAATCCGTCATTGTAATGACATCCGTTAGACGATTAACTGTGGATTACATCGTGTGTACACGCGCGCTTATGCAATTTTAATTATATTCTGTCATGACTCGCGGACGATATAGGTCACATCATCGTAATTATTCTATTTCACCGACGCATTTTGTCGCGTTAACCATTTATTTATCTGTCGCGTCAGGTTGCCGAGCCATCAACGATACATTCGGTTATTTGCCGGAATTACGTAATCTCCCAACGTACGAATGTGAAAATAAAGATCTGTTATTAAACGATTCGCGCCTCGCAAATTTTCGGTATCGTTTCCTCTTCCCCTTTCCCCCTCTCCTCCTCACCTTCTCAAAACGAGAGAAAGGACAGAGGAAGAGGAAGGAAGTTTACAAACATTCGCGGCCGGCGGGCGCGTGCCCACGCCCATGGCGAAACATTGTAATGCAAATCCGCGGCGCACGTCAAGAAGCAGGAAAAACGAACTCCTCTCCCTGTCCCCGTCCCTCCTCCCAGCCGCCGTATTCCGTACCGTCAGCGTCCCGCGCGTCGCCCCGTGCACTCGGTGACAATTAATATCACAACGCGCCGCCGCTGGTTCGCCCGCCGCAAGAATTCTCACCGCGTCCTTCCTCCGAGCGCGTGACACGAATGCACACCGGCTCTAACCTGCGGTTTTCCTTCTCTTTGTATGTTGCAGGATAAGACAAGCGAGCGCCCACTGCCACCATCGTCCGCCCGTCTCTCGGTGGCCACGCCGTTTCGTCGACGACAACGACGACGACAACGACGACGACGACGACGAGGGAAATTTGCGAGGCGCAGTGCGTCGTCTCTCGTGATCCGCGCGTGGATCCGCACGACTTGATCGGTTACGTGTGTATGACGTCGCGTCCGTCTGTCACTCGACCTTCGGCTCCGATGTGAGACTCGCGAGTTCCGTAAACTTGGAGGATCATCGAGCTCGTTATTACGCGTCTTTCCGCGAAATCTCGTTCGAACGAACGTAAGTGCTCGCTCGCCACGACGCCGCGCGTCTCATTGGCAGTGTCGAAGTCGCCGTCTGTGACTGCTACAACCGCAGGGACTCGTCGTCCGCGTCTTCCGCGACATGATCCTCAGAGTGACATTGTTGGTGTGCGCGCTGCTGTTGGTCGGTGCGAGATCCGAACCGAGACCCCGATCGCGACCGGTGCCCATCTATTCGAATCAGTTCGCCGTTTACGTGCCTGCCGGGCAGGAGGCTGCGGACGAGATCGCCCAGGAGCATGGCTTCGACAATCATGGACAGGTGAGTGTTGAAAACTAGTCTTCTCGATATGGAGACCAGACTGGGGACGTTTTGAAAGGAATTCTACCCCCGAAGTTAGGAATTGAAATCGATCGACCGGTTTCCATAACGTCGTAACTTCGATAACGTTTTTTGTCAAATCTCGACAGAGGGTAGGAACGTGAGTTGGGGTGAAGATTTGAGGGGGAAATTTGGAGGGCCGAGATAGCACAATAATTTTCGTTTACTGCAGGAAAAAGTGGTTGGGGAACAATGGCTGCATTTAGCAGAAGCATTTGTGATTGCTTTGTATTATATAATTAATAATTAATAATTTTGTTATAAAATTCTCTCCGTATAATTAATATAGGATATACAGGGTCCTCGGTAGATCTGAAATAAAATAATATGCCAATATGTAATAATAATAATATATAAAAAAATAATAATATAGCGATCAGGAGCAAAATAATTTGACGTCCCGACTTGTGCTGAACACAAGCATATATGGAATCGTTGTAGAATCGCAATCTATCCGTGAAAAATGATTAAAAAGGAGAATATTGGTCGAGGAAATTTCGTGACACAGTCATCATCGAATTTTTCCGGGGAAAATTTATTATCTTTCGCTTTAAACCAGCCGGCGAAATCTCCTCTCAGAACGACATTCTTAACCGCGATTCGGGATTTCTCGAGTGCTCTTGCACTTTGCGAGATTGCCGCAAGGCCAGCTTGCAGCGAGGTGCGTGTCCTCATCCTACGCATCGAATCGCGTATTGACGTTTATTCGCCCCGACGTCAGTAATGAAATTAGATGCTCCGTTATGGGCGACGGCGTTGCACCGTCGGCGGGATGTCGATCATGTTGAACGGATTGAGCGCGGAGACAGTCGAGGAAACCGATCTAACGAAATGGATAGAGACGAAGACAGCTCTCCGACAGCGGAGACTATCGTTCGTAACCAGAAATGGCTATTTAACCTGACCTCTGTACTTTATTGCCGAGTTTAGCCGCGGAAAAGATGGCGTCCGCGTGTCATGTGACCGTAAATATCCCGTCGACGCTCTTTGAAGGGTCAGTTTTGAATTACTCCTTAGGATTCGGGCATCGAGTTTTATTCGAGAAACGGAGTTTCGCGGCGTTCCGTTCGATGTGAGGCAACCACCTTCGCGTGTCCACGGCCAACCGCGTTGATTGACCTGACGAATGCGACTCTGATTACTTTGCAACTACAAGCCCGCGAGAGAAAGAGAGAGAGAGAGAGAGAGAGAGAGAGAGAGAGAGAGAGAGAGAGAGAGAGAGATCGATAGATAACATGTTTCGTTATCGCTCCAGTTTCGTTTTTGCGCGAGCCGTTGTCTGTCGGGATACGGGAAGCGTGCTCGGTTTACCGCTGATAAGACGGCTGATAAGTGTCGGCTGTATCGTATACATCCGAGGCCGTTCATCGCGGTCAGGCAACGCGGACGCGACAGAAACATCGCGTGCTAAATACTCGCTCGTACGGCTCGATCGCACGCCAAGTACTCGTTCATATTGGTCGACGTTTCGCCACAAACACGGACACGGCGACCGACATATAAGAGATGGCTAGAACTATGTACTCGCCGCTATGCGATTCTTTCAGAAAAAGCAAGAAAAAAGAAATGTAAATTCCCTCGTTGAATATTACTCGATTGAGTAATTTTCCCTCGCATTTTTATCTCAACATCATTCGTCATTTAATGTCTCGTTAGTAGAGATATTAACGTCGAGCAAAATTAAGAAACATCCTTGAAGAATTGTCGCGTCATCCTGTATCCGCCTTGTGCATTTAATATTTCGAATACGTTGTACTTAAAGCGCAAAAACGCCGACGTTGTTTACGAGCTCGAAGCATCTAGCATACGACGTAATTGTGCGTCGGAATATAAACCCATCGGGATATGAAATGTTTCCTACGCAGAATGTCCACTGACTCACGCGACTTCCGACTTCTCGAATAGATCTCCGTCGAGATTCTCGGAATTCGATGTGATTCGCGCCTGCAGTTTGTAGATTGTCGGTTGGCATTTTATTCAATCGATGCAATTGCGTGACTCTGTGTCCGACTGGTAATTTTGCTTTCACACATTGACCATTCAGGTTCCGCCAAATTTGAGGAACCTACGGAGAACCTTAACTTTATATAATACTGTACAGACTTTCGTCCTATCTTGATACTACGAATGGTTATTTAATCCTATTTTCTCGGTGTAGAAATGTCTTTAGAAAAAGACGATTTGTTTTCGCATTATTTAATATTTTATTATTTCACTACTTTACCTGCATTAAATTTTTATTCATAATTTCATTGAGCAATGTGCTTAAAAATTATGCGATTTTTGTTTAACTGCAAATAGAATATGTGTTTACGATAGATAAATATTTAATAATTTAATAATGATTTTTAATAAAGAAGCAAAGATAATTAATGAGAGAAAATGAATAACTAAAGCAATAAATTCTATTTTTTTATATTCTCTTTATTATATTTTTCTTTCATTAGCGCAATTTGAATATATATAATATATACATACATATATATATATATATATATTTATTTATTTATTTATATCTAAAGAATTCAGAAAGTATATATGATATATCACTGCTCGCATCTTTCGTCCATCCATTCTGATTTTCCCAGCTAGCATTGTGCTTCTGACTACTCGCAGCATTTTGTATTCTAGTTTATGACACTGACACTCGTGTAGGTGCTATTCGACCGGAGAAACATGTGTTAATTAACGCGATGGTGATGAGAGTCCGATGAAATATTTCACAAGCCGACAAAATATTCTCTTTTAAGGGGATACTGAAAATTTTACCGACAGAATACTGACATTTTTCGGCAAAGTTTACATCGTATTAGTTGTACAGAATTACAAATGCTTTTACGCAACGAAAGTTCGTGCAAAAATAAATAGTTCAATATATGACGAAAACGGAAAAAATCTAAATGTAAAATCTCAAGCTGTCAGTTAGCGTAATATTTGCCTAATCCGAAAGTTCTGCAGTTTATACATACTGAAAGTGTGAACGTTCCAAACAGAAAAATTTGAAAGAACATTTCTGTACCTCTGCATTTGAGTTCAGAAGCTTAAAAATATCCGAAAAGTTTGCAAGAAGATTTCTACACATGTGTGCGTGGTTAGGTTTTCTGTTGAATATGGTAAAACAAAGTAACACACATTTATATAAGTTCTATATGTACAAGAAATACGAAAAGGACAACTATGTTAGTGATGATCGTCTCTGCGTCATTGTTCGAGTTCGTTATCGACTTTAGCATCCGTTTAAATATAACACTCGGCCTTGAAAACGTATACGAGAATATACCAAAACAATAGACAATAAGGACTACCGCTTGGATCGCCGGTACCCTTCCCCCACCATCACTCCATGATCGAGTGATCGCAACGATCAAAACACTCGGGACGATTGAACGTACCTTCGTGCGTCGCGAACTTTCTCAAGTGTTTATTACGTTTCAAGCCGGCGAGCGACACGCATACCGCGGACTACGTGTACCGGTGCGTTATTTGTCATTACCGTTGGGTGATTAAAACATTTCGTCGGTCCGTTCGAAGTACTTAATCAAACTCTCGTCGGCATCGCGTTATTTCACCCTTTCACTACCAACGGAACATATTTGTCTAACGAGACATATGTTTCCCTCACTAATTAACAATAAACTTATTCGAGTGAACAAACAGCTTTCCTGGCATTTAGACATCATTCTGCTTATTACCGTTGGGACTAATATGCCTCCCTTCCAAAAAGGGAGTCCCAGAGGTACATCAGTGTTGTTTGGCCTTATCCCTTTGCCGCCAAACGTGAAACTTTTTTTTAGTTAAAACTATATTATATATATTAATGTATTTAATGAAGGAAAAGAAGATTGTACTTTTAAAAAACACAATTGGTAGTGAAATGGTTAACACGTGTTTGGTCGAATCGTATCTGCGTGAGTGTTAGTGTCAGTGTCACGACAGAGCAGCTAGAGTGTTGGATCGAAAAGCTGGGACGCAAGACGCGGGCAGTGATACATCACATATTTCCAGGTGTGTGAGCAGTTATTTATTATATACGTAGAGGTTTTTGATATTAAAGAATCTTCGATAAATTCAACGACAGTCACGACATATCCGAGTTGAAATTTAGGTTTAGGTCGTTTAGGTCGTTTAGGTCGTGTTCGTAGATTGCCATCATTTGATAAGTAATCATAGCTTCATGAATCTCCGATTACTCGTCAGTATGTACCTGTATCTACGTTATTTCCTACAACAAGAAACATTGACCCAAATAACCGACTAACGATTCATGAATATAACCATGCAATTAATTATGCTTTCAATCGAAGATTGTGAATAGTTTACAAGTATGAATAGCGGTCTTAAAATGTACTGTATATATCGCAAGTGTTGATCTGTATGTCTGATAATATCATTTTGATTGCAATAATATCTTGTTTTGAATATTTCAAAGTGTTTTTTTATTTGTTTTTTCTTCTGTTTTTATTTTTATTGTAGGAGATTCGTTCATATTGTAAAATAAATCTAAATTTATAAATCTATTGATACACATGATATTATTGGACACACAATTGCTATTCTTGCCTTTACAATTCTTTCCTTTTCAATGCTTTTGAATTCTTAAATCCTATCAGAGTATCCAATGCCAATAAAAGAAAAAAAGACATAATAAAAGACTTATGAACAAAGTTTATTTCTTTTTTACTTGCTCATTCATATTTTTTATCACACATTAATGATTTAATATTTGCTTGTCTTATACATTCTGCATTCTCTGCAATTAAGAAAATTTTACATAATTAACACATTGCTTGTTGAAATTTAAAATAAAGATTAAATAGTAGATAGGATATTGAAATAATCGAATATTAAATAATTCTGCGATATATTTTTTCTAAATTTTAACATGTGGAAAGCAATAGTCAATAACTCTTTGTAATATCAAGGTAGGAATACAGTGCGGG